TTTTTACTCTTACTTGAATAATTTCTTTTATTGCTATTTTTCACTTTAACTTGAGTAAAAATATGTTGAAGTTTTCTTTCTTGAGGACCAGTTTTAGGTTCTCTATCCACCTCAGAATCTAATTTCAATTACATTTAAGAAAACAACAACATATTATTCAGAAATATGTTATCAGAGCATTGCAATCCAATAGTATTGAGAGGTTAAATTAAGTCACATAAAGTCTATTTCAATTAGTAAAAACGTATTTATTTAGCAGAACTCAGCCAGTTCCTTCCTCCTGATCAAGCGCGTGGCGACAGTGGAGAGGAAAAACTGTTAGCTTAAAGAAACCTCAAGCAGAACTAGATCTAGAAGTAAAAACATTTAATTAGCACAAAAACTCAAAATAAAGAAACAGAAGCCATGACCCTGTCGTTCTCTCTACATTGGAAAAAGAGTGAAGGATTTGCAGCAGGTTCTGTTTTGGCTTCAATTTGTAAATAAACGCAGCTAAAAGTTTTTAACCGGCAGTAAAATCTGGAGGCTGTTTCTGCTTTTTTTATCTGGGACCTTTGAATATTTTAAATCCTTCCTTTTTGTTTTATTTTAGATAATTTTGAAGTGAGCAACGTTCAGATGCCAGAGGACAGCACTGATGGTGAGATTCAGAACCAGTTTATTCCATTAAAATAGTTTAACATAGTTTAACAAGGTTTTACTTTATGATCTTTTCTTTCTTCCAGCAGCTTCTGATCCCATCACAGCGTCAGACGAGGACAGTAAAGGTCAGGTTCTGGTTCATATTCAGAATAAAAAGGCCGACTGCACAAAAATACATAAAATAACCTCTTATAATATTGACTAATTTGGGAAACTATTTTATTTGGTTTAAGGACATTTACTAAGATGGCGATTTTTTATTTTTTACCTTCCTCATCCCGTACGTAGAGACAAGATAAACAATGTTCTTCGTACAACTTTCTATCAAAGTCTGTTAAATCTTTAATTTATTTATTTATTTTAAAAATAGTTGGAAGAAATAAGTCCCTCATTTTGTATATTTCTGCTTATAAATATAAATACTTTCCAGAAAATCATGGATTAGTAATTTTCATTTCCTAGAAACTGATCAAGTTGAGAATTATTGGTGGTTAACTAATTAGGAAACTGATGCTTTTGTAACAAAATGTGTTGAAATTAGAGACTTTTTGGGTTAAAAATACTGTAATAAAAGATTTATTTAAAGTTTTTTTGACCAGACAGGGGCAATAAATAAGAACTGCGTATAAATTCAGAAAAAAACAAAACACTTGAACTGATTAAATTTGGCTCAGCGATAAGATGTTATAAAGATAGAATTTAAAACTAATGCAAGTTTTGCAAATTTAATTAATTAAAAAATGGAAATTAAATGTTGCTGTTCACATATTAATTCACAATTTTTCAATGAGTTTTTGTACAAACTGATAGCAGCAGAAAGATTTCCTGTAGCAGTCTGTATTGCAGCACATCTGAAGAAGCCTCTGACTGAAGATACGTTTTCTAAGAGTTGGCCTTAATTTTCTTGATTTTATGTAAAATGTTTTGTTTTTCTGTAAACTGAACAACAAAGCAGGCAAAAATAAAAACACACTTATTAACATATTTATATTTAATTCCACAGAAACAGACAGCGTTGAAGAAATTGAAGGTAACCAAATTTTAGTCTATTAATAATTTAAATATTTTTAGTTTATTAATTATTAATAATTTCCAGCAAACTGATATATGCAGCAGGAATGTTGCTGTGAAAACTTTTAAATCCATTTCTGAATTTTTGGTCAGATTTTTAGCTCCTGATGGTCAGACGATGCAAACAACTGCATTAAATTCGTGTTTTTGTTTCTGCAGATGTAAATGATGATTCGGCCCCTGAAACTGATGCCACCTCCGGTAAATATTCATTATTCTGTTTAATCAAAAGCAAACATGACTCCTATGTTTTCTTTAAACATTCTGCTTCCAAATAGATTGTGATTACAAAATAAATTATAGTTTGTACTTCTACTGTTGTTACGCAACATAAACGTAGGATCAATCTAGATAATTAATCTGTGGTCTCATCCTTGTTCAACTCGTTTGTCTTCATAAGTAGCTGGTCTGACGGTAAATCTTTTGTTTTCTCATTAAGCTGAGCTGTTCTTCCTCCTTCCTCCTCCTCTTGCATTCCTTCAGAGCCAATCTAATCTGAAACAAGACAGGGAGGCAGAAGTTTCTCATAGCTAACAGGGAAACACCTGCAGACGTTTACAGAAATTATTTGGTAACATGATTTCCTGGTTAATGTCAAGTTGTCATAACAAAGACATTTTGAATAATGTCAACTTTGTATTAAAAGTGTCATAATTTACCAAATGACGCTTTATGACAACAGTCATAAATATTCATGAAGGCTTATTCATGTTCATGACAGGTGTTATGTCATGTTTATGACAGTGTCATGTCAGTCTTATTCACCCCCTTCAAATAAAGTGTTACCATCTATTTTCTTTTTTAGTATTTAAAATCTTGGCTGCTGAAGTCGGAGGAGATGCAATAAGCAGCACAAAGCCTTCAGTAGTTTTTGGTTTTCTATTACTGGAGCCTGATTTTTAGGTATAGAAATAAGGAAATGACTTGTTTTTTAAAAAAGAAAAAAAAAAGAAAAAGCTTAGTCAGCGCTAAAGAGCATGTTAAGTTTAGTAAGATATTATCTTTCAGGGAATATTTCTCATCACGTCTTCTACTTCCTTGAACTCAGTCATGTTTCTTAACTTATCAACTATAACTGTGGAACTGTTTCTAATATTTGGCGCAGCATGTTTTGCTTTTTGTTGAATTGAACTCATAAAAATGCAGCTGTTAAAAGATTTCACATATATAATTTTGTTCCTCTTCATTAAGTATAAAAACCATCAGAGCTGCAAGACGAAGTTTTACTGTTCGAAAACAATAACAAAGTTTTTTGTGTATTAATATTATGAACCAATGTGCTACTTTGCACATCTTCATGTATGTTTATTTAATTATTTGCACTAGTTTTATGCACTTATTGTTATTGATTTTGAAGTATTGTTCTGTCTTCATCCCCTTTTTAAAGACAAATTAATAAATTATGTTTTATGATTCGCATTTTTAAAAATATATTGGTATGTTTAGTGTTCATAAAACGGGAGACTTTGTGTCTCATCCCTTATATTAACTGATGCTAACATTTAAATCCAGCACCAACACAGAAACAAAGGTTTAAAATGTTGCTGTACTCTCCTCAGCCTTCCTGTTAGCTGCTGAAAATCTCACTCTCTTGATCTCTAAAAATGCCCTATAACTTACTTTCAACAGATTTTCGGCCCCTTAGTTAGCGCGCTGCTAGTGTTTACATAGGAGTTTCTCATTAGAAAAATCTTCTGTGAAGTTGAAAATCAAGTGATTTCTGTAAATTAGATTTTTTTTAACTGTGAACTTCTGATTAGTAGCATTACTAATTTTCCCTCTCTAATTATTATTTCCCTGTAGATGTGGAAAAGGACGAGTTTGAAGTAGAGCTTAATGGTGAAGTGGGCGGTAAGTCGATGTTATTAACATCTAAATTAAAGAAACATGCCGTTGGTTAAAAACAGCCGCTGACGTCATTAATATTGTTTCTGCTACAACTTAGATCTGGAGAAACAAAACCAAGGATTTATTAACAAATAAATGTGTAATTTTTTTTCCAGATGTAACAACTGATTCTAAAGGTAAGAGTGTGTGATAATTTCTAATAAAAGAGAGGCGGACGGTTTTCAGCGTAATTTTAGTCGTTTCTTATTTGATGGTTTTTCCATTTGATGCCAATAATTTGACCAGTTTTAAACCGGCTGACATGTTTCACATCAACAGGATGTAACCAGCAGATACTCATGGGAGTAAATTACTTGCTAAGCCAGAATTTAATCCCTCATGCAGTAATTAACCAATCAGACTCTTGTATCTATTTGTTTAGTTTAATTCCAGGTGGCGACTAATTAATATTATCATATTTCACAACTTTACTGTAGTAATTGCATAAAGCTGAAGAAAACATTGAGCAAAAACTCAGTTTTTGTTCATTTTTCATCATTATTCACATGAACTGGTTTGTACAGAACAGGATTAGATCTAATGGGAAAAAATAATAAAAAATCTGACTTTAATTCAAGTCTGAATTCTGAGATTAAAGTCAGAATTATTTTTATTATTATTTTATTTTTATTTATTCATTTTTAAGAGGCTTTAATCCTTTTCCTCGGTTTCGGACTGATCCACTCAAAAGACATCAACTGGATAAAAATTTTTGGGTTTTTTTCCAATTATTATCTAAAAACTTCACTATTTCTATAATTACTTGTACTAGATTTTCTACATTATATAATTTTCCTTTTTAATCACAATTAAAAAGCTGTCATTTATTATTACTAGACATGACATAAGTCATATCTGATCATTCAATTTGCTTTTTAAAGTCAGGATTTCATCAAAATGTGTTTATTCTCAATGCAAATTACAAATCTAAGCTGATACCAAAGTTTTAATCTTTTCCAGCTTTTTAGACGTTTAAACTGTAAATGTTGCGTTAAATGTAACTGTTTTTTTCCTCTCCAGATGAGGATGAACTGAGTGATGACGCTGATCTGACTGACAGTGGTAAATATCCAGATAATGAATGAACTGTAATTTACCAGGTTGCAAAATAATATACACTGCAAAAACACACAACCTCAAGTATTTTATGACCAGTTTCTAGTCCAAATGTCTTAGTTTTGTCTTATTTAACTTAATAGTAACTTTTCAGAGAGATATAGAAACTTGTTTTAAGTAAATAATTTCTTGACATTGATAAAAAATAAAAAGTTCCACAGGCAGATTATTTCACTTATAATGTGGGGAAATTATATTGTTATAAATAAATTCATCTGCCAATGGAACTAGTACTTTTTAAAATCAATATTAAGGGATTATTGACTTAAAACAACTTTCTATATCTTTCTGATAAGTTACTTTTAAGTCAATGTCTTATTTCAAGTGGAATAAGATATTTGCACTAGAAACTAGACTAAAAATACTTGGTAAGTTTTGGTGTTTTTGCAGTGTAAATAGGTGATATTAAATATTTTCCAGGTGCATAGTACCATTTTATAGAACAATCAAGTAACTATGTTAACTTCAGTTATGATAAAAAATACTGTATTTATTAAACATAACTTAAAATAAATTTGACACGTTAAAATTGGGCCTCTGTCTCTTTAAGAAGCACCTAATCTTTCTGACTTTCCGCCTTCAGGAAGGCCTTACTATTATCCCATTTCCAGCCATTCTGAGAAGTAGTTAATATGATGAGCTCAGTATTTCCACCAGCTGTTTGCTAATTGCTGCTGCCGCTCGTTTGAAGGAGCTGAGGCAGAAACTCAGCTGAAATAACGTTATAACATGATATAAAGCTCAAAACGTCTATTTAAATCCACTGATTTGGATAATTACCTTGATTTTATGTTTTATTCTATAAAGATATTTTAATATCTAAAGGAGCCGGATTGTTGAAATCCTTAAATAACGACTGATTGTTATTTGATGCTAAATCCACAGACACTCCAGCTGATGACGACAAGAAGGAATCAGACGAAGTCACTGACAAAGATCTGGGCACTGACAGCTTAGCTCATGAGGATGAGCAGGAGGCTGCAGACGTCACATCGAATGAGGAAGATGTACTGACAGACGACGGCGGCGACGAGAAAGAGGTCGCAGAGGACGCCGAGGCGATAGAGGAGGAGATGGACGAAGACGACGGCGTGACCTCAGATAGCAAGGATGAAGATCAAACCGACAGCAAAGTTCTGAGCGACGATGAAACTGAGACGAACCAAACCGACAGCAAGGCGGAGAAAGACGAAGACGAGCTGGACATGCTCGAAGAAGAGATGTTTGAAGATGACTCACAGACTCAGGAGCCGGACGACCTGGCTCTAGACACGCCCGACTCCACCGAAGGTAAACGCCCAACAGGTCAAAGTTCAGACCGGGAACACAGCCTGCAGTCCTACGTTTTATCAGAATTTTGCATAATTTCAGACGACAGAGCGACTCAAAGCTACAGTAACTCAAAAAAAGTCTGTAATACTTATTTTTTCTTACTATTTTTGTTAAAGCATCCAGTTATAATCTTTTTTTAATGTTTATTTTTTAAAATATTCTGTGTGACCTCTAAAAGCATTTATTTTAGTTTAATTAATAAATAGTGCCCACTTGTGTGCAATTAAATTTAAAGTTTTCTGGCAGCTTAGAAAACTTTAGTGAACAAATAAAACCATGAAGCAACTTTCTAAGCTTTAAGCCTCTTTGATCAGCCGATCATATAAAACCTGAAAGAGAATAAAGTGACTTGAAGATGAACTTTCACCTTTCCTCAAAATATTTTATTCAATGTTATTTTTGTGACACATTAAAAAATAACTGACAATAGATATCAGCATAAATGATTTCTGGAAATCATCTTTTTATCATTTTAAATTAGTAAAAAATAAATGTTGTGCACCAAAAAGACAAGCTTTAAAGTCACGCAGAGTGTTGGAGCCAGCAAACTGTTTTAAAATAAAACATAAATCTTCGGCTCAATTAAACTGACTTAAAATGCTTTCTGGGTTGTAAAATCTAGATTTCAGTGAATGCAGATACACATCTCAGCGTTATGACCAAAATGTACGTCTGCATTTGGATGTATGAAGATTTAATTGGATGTATAATTAGCAACAAAATGTCTCTTTTTCTAACCAAACGTTCAGCAGTGGAAAGTTATCGAGTCTTATTGTTTTTATTTTGACTGTGACAGCTTAACAATAATAATAAATATATTTGCAGAAAGTAAAACAAGGCAACGTTAAAGTGAACAGAACAGTAATATTCAAATTCACATATATGTGGTTGTATGAAAATATATAGAAAAATGAATCTGCTGGAGGAAATACGCCGACTTCCACATTTAACTTAACAGACTTTAACACGATTAAAGTTAAATTACAAGGCAGCACAGTTGGTAATAATTGTGTTGTTTTTACTGGAAGAGAAAGAATGACATAAGAGATTGAATAAAAATATGTATATTATAGACATGCTTTCAAAATAAACCATTTAAAGACAGAATTAATTAAAAGTTAAACAGTCCAGATGTGACATGTCAAGTTTTATCCTGTTGCAGCACAAACTTCTGACATGGACCTACTTGATGACTCCACTCCCGCAGGTAGATTTGCTTTGTTTTAGGCTCAATATCTGACTTAGTAACAGAGTTTGTCCTGTAATGCAGTAATATTAGAAAAATAAACATTTTTATTGATGTTTTTTATGCTAACTAAAGTAAACTTCTGTTTTCCTCCAATAGCTGGGAACCAGACGCCCAGTCTCTGAAGCGTGGAAGCTCTCGGATGTCAGGTATGACTGAAAATATAAAAATAAAAACATTTTTCATTGGTGTGTAAAATTAGCCTCAATTCAAGAGGAAATGAAATATCAGAAATGTACAAAAATATATTTTTCTTACATTATTTTTCAGTTGCAAAAAGAAAATTCAATGGATTTTAATGGATTTTTTCAGGCTAGGTATAAAGGAGTTTATTATCTGAACTTCAAGAGTTATGAACGGGTTTGCAATATGTTACAGCATAAATTCTGCTTTACCACAGTTTGTTGTTAAAAACTGGCCTCAATTATCCTTAAAACGTTTCTGAAAAGTGAAGGTTTTTGCTTCATAACTGGGTAAATGAATGTTGTTGTTTCCTGACAGAACGGCGCTCTGGTGTCTCCATGGTGATTTACCGCTGCCATGACAACAACAAACTAACCTGCAACTAAACTCAGCTGTCTCTCTGTTTTGTGTCTTTTTGATTTTTGGCTGCTTTTGTTTTTCATGAAGAGATATTAGAGAATATCTTATTTTCTTCTCTTTCTCCTCCTTGCTCTTCTCTGGGGTTTCTTTTAATTTTAGCTCATTTTCTCACCTGTCTGCAGAAACATTATCCCAGCTGCTGATCTTAGATCTGCTCTGTGGGTCTGATTTCACACATTGATGTGTACATACAGTCCATCGTTTACTTTACAAACATTAATGATTATTTTTTACAAGAAATTGACGAATGTCAAGTCCTTCACTGTACACAGAAATTGGCTAATAAAGTGTGAACTGTCAGAAACTGCCTGAATCTTTTCTGAGAATAAAAAGTCTGTTTTTCTTAATCATTTTGTGAATATAACTTAATTCCAAGTAATTTGTCTTTGTTCATTCACTTATTTTATATATCAATGATATTTATCAATTTTCAGAATAGAAATACCAAGACGGAGAAGATAATTTTTTGTCTCGATGTGTTTTTTATTTATTTTTGAATTAGATAAAATGCAAAATGTGATTTAAAGAGCATAGATTCTTCTGAGAGATGCAATGACATCACTTCCTGCATCCAGGTCGCCATTTTGATAGGCGGAAGCAGCTTTCATTGGATATTATTGGATTCAAAAAGGTGATAAAACTGTAAAAAGAAGTTTTTCATTACATCCAGAGAAGGTGAGCAAACTTTACTAAGCATCGAGGTTCGGCTAGAGAAAACCCAAATCTTCTAATACGGCACTTTATTCATTCAAATGTCTCTAAAAATAACCAAAACTGTGACGCGATCAGCCGGTCAGTAATATTTTGGACTGATTGCTGTAAGAATAAAAGAGGTACTTTGTACTGAAACCTGTAGATTTATTCCCACAAAGTATGAAATGTAACTATAATGCAGATTTGCAAGTATCCATCAAGTCGCTTCTGTTCATAGAATCACTGCTTATGTGGTCGTATTTATAATCTCATAATGTTAACAAACATTTGCTCATATTTTCTCAAATTTGAGCATTTATAACAATTGTTACACATCATACGTATGACTCAGCAAACACAAACGACTTGTTGACTAACTTGTAACCATAAATGAAGCAGAACGAAACCTAAATGTGTTTTGTTCTGCTTATGCATAACTCTGAGTTGGCGCTTGTGAAACTGAATAAGATAGAAAATATTTAAATCTTTACCAGAGTTTTCTAGAGTGAATATGGATCTTAGCTTGGAAGCACATCAGGAAAAAAAACTCCAGTTAAGATAGAAATGTTGAGAAATTTTGTCATTTATAGATTTTGCAACTTTAATTGTGAGTCAAACAAATTAAAATGGATTAACCCAGACCAAAAACATTTTAACATTTTAACTGAAATACACAGAAATTTGTAAAAGGTGCAAAAATTAGTTTAGGTTATATTTTCAAGTTGTGAGCTTTGAATCATTTCAGTATCAATATTAATCATATATAGGTTTTGTTCTATATCAGGAATGTCAAACTCATTTTAATTTTGGACCAAATAAAGGACTAGATACAGAATGTATTGGTAAAAACTCATTAACAAACTTATAAAATGTAAATAAAAAGCTATTTCTGCCTTCAGTAAAAGTTCTTCTAAACGTTAAATAATATTGAACATCTTTTCACATTGATGCAATTTGGCAGAATGCTGATAAAAACTGATTCAATTTGATCAATAAAACAATATTTAAGCACATAATTGTTATTTTTGAAGGTTTTATTTAGGTGTCCTGTCAGACTTTAGAGGACCACATGAAGAGTTGCGGTGGGCCAGATTTGGCCCCCGTGCCTTGAGTTTGACACGTTTTACATAAACGGATCTTTAAGCAGCTCTTGTGAGAGTAAACTTACACAAAACTGTTTCTAAATCTTCACTTTTCTCTAAAATAGACGTTTTTAACGCTTGTCTTTATGTGATGATTCAGATCTTTGCACTTTTCTTACAAGTAATGCGGGAAAAATGTTTCATTCAAGCAGAACCAAAGAAGAGAACACGGGGAAGTTTTATTGCTTAAATTTTTAAAAATATGTTTCAATCATGTTTTCAAAATGAAGCATGTGGAGAAATTCCTTTATCAGGATGTTTTACAGCTAATTTGTGATTTAAACCAGATCACCGATAGAAACGTTTCCTGTTTTCTCTGTTTCATTTGCATTTTCCTGCTTCAAAGGAACTTATTCACACCCTGTTCAATGACCAAAGCATCATTAATAGCTGTTGACAAGATTAGCAACTATTGTCTGATCCAACTAGAACAGATAATTTACTGCGTAGAGTAGTGAACAGAAAACAGGAAACATCAGGTCACAGTTTGTTTGCCATGTGTTTCACCTGCTGTACGTCATGTTCACCAGTGTTTTTATATATTATAAATAAAAAGCAGCAAATAAATTACTCAAGCAAGAGTAAATAAAACTATTTGTTCCACTGGCAGATTATTTCACTTTTAACAAAACATTTTCCTGTGTTTTTCAGGATATAATTTATCAATAAAACTAGTATTTTCAACAAAATAAAGGAATTATTAACTTAAAATGAAGTCCTATATATTACTTAAAAGTAATGTGTAAGTTAGTTTTCTGTTATTTCAAGTGTATTAAGATATTTGCACTGCAAACTGGACCAAAAATACTTGTTTTTGCAGTGTGGATTAAAAGGAACTCAGCGTTTCAGCTGTTTCACAGTTTTCTGGAAGTTTGTTCCAGATTTGTGGCGCATAGAAGCTGAATGCTGCTTCTCTGTGTTCGGTTCTGGACAGAAGTTGATGGTTTATTCTTTTCTAAGTTCATTAATCCATTAATCAGCATCGCCACATTCGCTGCATCCTAATTTTTGTAAAGCATTTCGTTACTTTTTAAGCGCTGATCCCCAGCAGGTGTGTTGAAGTGGGATGAGTCGGGTTACCTGATGCCTCAGGTTGGTGTTGTGGAAGAACGACTCCTGACCATGAAGTTTCTCCCAGCTGATAAATGAAAACCGGCCTGCAGGTCTGCAGAGGTTAACCGATTCACACACCACAGAAGACGGGGGCAGGAGGGCACTTCCTGCCAGATAAAGGAGGCTTGTTTCAAAATGTCCCCTGATTGGTTAATGGGGTCGCGGCTGAGGCCAGCAGCAGGAGGCAACTTAGTGGACCCTGACTGATATGCATGTGTGTCTCCATCTGTTGGGCTGGGATGTAAAATAAAGCTTTGTTCAGGTGAGTTTCACACAGAAGCAGGCAATGGGTCGATATCTGTGAGAAGGGATTTACCTTCACCTGAGACGTGCAGACCTGACCAGGTGTGGAAGTACATCATGTTCTGGTCACTTCCTGAAGCTAAACAACAGTAAACTTATGCTAAACACAAAAATATGAAAAAAATTTTCATGTTCAGCAGCTGTGATAAGTCTGGAATAAACTAGCAGAATTTACCAGAGGCAGAAGACGGCGCGATTTTAAAAAGAAACTCAAGCAGGTTGAAAACAAACCAAGTATTTTTCTGCTGCTAAAAACGGATAGTTTTAGTTATTTCTTGAATAAATGTTTTCTGTTGAGTTTTTTAATCAATCAATCAAGTTGATTTGCATGACATTTCAGCACCAAAGCAAAGTGCTTCACATCATAAAAACACAAAAATACAAAGTCATAAACACACAGCCAATAATTGATGGATTACATTTTGTCAAGTACTATCATTACACGTTAAAATGTTGACTAATGTTTCATTTATTATTTAATTTTAATTCTTCTAATATAGCAATGTATTCTGTTGTGTGAGGTTGTTTTTCTTTGGTCATAGGATGAAATTATGCTAATTCCTGCATTTGCATTGCTATAAATCTTGGTAACTTTGATTAATATTCACTATCCTAATCAAATAAAATTACCGTATTTTTCGGACTATAAGCCGCTACTTTTTTCCTTCGCTTTGAACCATGTGGCTTACAGCCCGGTGCGGCTTTTCTGTGGATTTCTCTTCGTCCACCAGGGGGCGGTTTAGCAGGAAGTGAACCATTGGAAGTCAAAATTGGAACTCAAAGAAGAAAGCACTAATTTTCATTTTGAACAAGCACATGCTAGCAGCAGGAGCGACGGAGAAATGTTTTCAAACTCAAACGCCCTCATCATGGAAACACGATGCAGCTTTAAGTGGAAGGCTAAAGATCTGGCAGGACAGGAGGGAAATGGAGCTGCAGCAGTAAGTTCATGAACGAATGCATGGTTCGGTTTTCTGTCGGAAAACCGAAAGCGGCGGAGATACCAGCGGCTTATTATTTAACGTTTCCAGTTTTAAAAAAAAATAACAACTTTGTGGATGCAGCTTACAGTGAGATGCGCTCCATACTCTGGAAAATATGGTAAATTAAATGACAATCAAGTAAATAGTTACTCCAAAACTGACATCTTAGATGCATATTTTAGTCTTCAGTCTAATTAAAATGTTGTCTCAACTATTTATTGCGACATAAACTCCACCCAACGTTTGTCAGCCATGAAGTCTTGTTGAGAAAATTTACCCAACGTCCAGTTCTGGTTCCTCAGGGTTCCTCTTTGTTTCAGAACGTCCAGGTGAGCTCCAGTCATTCAGAACCAAGCTGGACCAGACCGCGATGCCTTAAAAGTGCCCCTAATTCTTCATCTGGACCCCGTCCCGGAGTCCAGGGCCGGTTCCAGCTCGGTTCTGATTTCAGGACGTGTCGCAGTCGATAGATGCAAACTCATGTTCTGCCCTGATTCACACAGACAGCGGGAAAGTTTCATTTCAAAATAACAGCAAAGAAGGTCGCCGGGTTTTCCAGAACGCCGGACGGTTTTACTTTGTTTTCACAAAAATAAAACATGTCTGTGGAATCAAAGAGAAATCAATCGATCTGTTTTCTTTTCCTGCAAAGGAGTGACATTTAGTCTAAATATTCCTGTTAGTCATGATACGTTAGTGATGCTAAATTTGAGTGATATCAACTACTGTTACTAACAGATTCTGCTTTATTTTGATCTCTAATGTCAGTTTTACAGAATGTCTTTAATTTTGCACCATATTAACAGTCTACTGCTTTCTGTCATAGATAGATAGATAGATAGATAGATAGATCATGTCTGTTTTTATCTGATCAGACCTTTTTCTCCCAACTTGTCTAAATTTTCTCCAGCATCCTGTAAACAAACCCCATCGTGTTTTTTCTTCAGCAGTGGAGTCTTGTGCAGTGACAAACAGAGTTGGGTAGTAGCTTGTTACATTTACTCAGTGGTGGAGAAAGTACTCAAAAAATTTACTTAAGTAAA